ACTCATTTTCTATTAAATTCTGAAGGAATTTGCCATAAAAGGTTTTTGTGGTGGGAAGAAAAGCTTTCAATCTTTTTTTCCTTCAGACTTTGCAGATTTTGAGGGTGGGGGAAACTCTGAAATCTTGTGGTGTCATACGAAAACACGTGGTTGCCAGAGAGAATCTCTGAAATAGAAGCGGTAGCATATGGACAAGCACAAAGGCAATTGTAGCTTGAATTGTCACTGTTTCTGAAGCAAAGTAGGAAATTGGAGCTTTAATTAAACTCTTTTCTCTCCCCTCCTCTCCGACATTTACCAGATCTTATCGAGAAATATTGATCGTGTGAAAAAAATCACCATGGCAATATGGAACACAATACAATTCCTAAGGAGCTGCTTTCTCTGGGAATCTACACTAAGGAGCATGGTAGCATTTGTGGTAAGAGGATTTCTTCATATCCCATTGAGTCATAGAGTACCCTTCTCTCCTTCTTGTTTTTGGTTGGTGTTACTATTATTGTCCTTCGGTTTTATTATTTGTCACTGTAGTGCCCACAAGACACAAGCTTGATGAGGGTCTCCATGTGCCGGAGGGTAAATGAACACAACAGTAATCCATCTAGCACAATCTCTCTCCCATACTTTCACCTATTGTAAAGGCTGCCTTTGCAACAGAACCCCTTCAGTGACTTTGTGTGGAGAAGCTATGTTGGCCAAAAGGCAGTGCTGGGGGCTTCCGAAGGCTCTTCCCATAAGGATTGGATGGGCCGCACTGACTCTCTCAATAGGCTCATGCAGAGGAGACTGTAATGACTATTGGGGAGCCTCACTGGGTCCCTGGGCAAGCTCAGGGGCTTGGCTTTGTGTTCTGGAAAGGGCGGAGCCTAGGACAGGAGGGGTGGGGCTGGGGCAGCTGGCCCTCAGTATCCCCAGACCATACCTTCCCAGCCCATAGCAACATCTGGACTGTGCAGCCCAGGGCTCTGCAGCATGTGGCGTGAAGCTCTGGTGGCAATTTAAAGGGGTCCAGGGCTCCTTCTATCATTGCTGTAGCTGTGGCTGGGAGCCTTAGGCCCTTTTGAATCACTGGGCCCTGGAGCAGTCGTCTCCCTTACCCTTCCCTCCCCCCCCCCTCCATTAGTGGTCCTGATGACCGTGGACTTGGTGGTCACTCTACAATCCCCACAAAGGAGTTACAGAAGGTCACGTTGTCTGGAGTTGCACTAATGGAATGGGTACAGCCCTGTGACCTACCTCTGGCTGATAAAGCACTAGAAGAATGAGACTATAGGGAACAATCTTTTATTGATGGGATAATATGAATAAATAGGGCTTTTCCGTTCCATCCTTCATTTCAATAAGACTGCCTTTTATTGTAGCTTAGTAATGCTTGCCTGCCCCGTTAGTCCAACTGCACACAAGCATGTCTGAGCTGACAATAATGGTCTCTTGCAAGTCTGTCTACCTGACTGTAATAATAACTATAAAAACAAAAGGTTTGGTCAGCAAGTACTGGTGTGGTCTGAGAACTAACAGCCAAGTTCCCCACCTATCTGACCCATTTTTTCAGCTGTATTCTCTGCCCCCCTCTTGTAGAAAATACCCTGTTTTAAGCTTTCTCATCCACTCAAGCACAAAGAGGTTTCCCCTCCTTTTTAATCAGTAGTGTGGCATTTTCTTCATGCTTGGAGTGTCTCGCATGCCATTAAAGGTTGCAGAATTGTTTTGTGATGGTCCAGAGTGGGGGGGGGTCTGTGAATTATAAGTTGCTTTAGTGTTCTTTTGATGAAAACGCTTCACAGAGTATTTGTACAGATGAGTAAAGTGAGCTGTCACTGCTTGAAAGGAGTGCAGAGTAAAGATGGAGAAGCTGTCTTTCACTTTGCAGGTTGAGAGTGATAAGGCAGGCAAGACTGAGGAGAATGAGAGATTTTGTTTTTGTTTTTAACTTGTGTTGATCATGTACACAGTTGAGTCAGATGGATCAAGAGCTTGAAGGGGTGAAAATTAGTGTTTTCCAGTCCACTCACTGATTGAGGTACTAATTGATATACCTTTTCCTGTGATGTAGTCAGATGTACTGAAAGCTAAAGGGAAGAAAACTAAAATTAACAGAACCCTGTCCTATAGACTATGAAATTCTGGATAACTTGGACTGCCGTTCTTATGCTTGAGAGTGCATGAGTAATAGCTGTGGTTCTGAGACCTAGATCTGTATGTATTCTGAATGAGAAGGTAGGATCGGACTCTTAGTTGCAGCAGGAGTGTGGGAGTGAACAGACGGAACTACATATGTGTACATGCTGGAAATGGAAAAGAAAGTGAACCTATTGTTCTTTGAATGATGTCCCTGTGGGTGCTCCACTTTGAGATCTGGTGTGTTCTCACACCAGCAACCAGAGATTTTTCTAGCAGTGCCCTGCGCATGTGCAGTAGTGTCTCCTCATGTCGTTGGTGTCCATTAGACGTGCACGCAGCACCTTAGTTCCTTCTCTGCCATCCTTGGCAGCAGCTAGAGCTCCCCTAAAGTCACCCTCTTTCCACCTGAAATAACAAAATCATTAAATTACCTCCGTTTTTCTCTCCTATCCAAGTTTTTACTTCTTCCCTTCCTGCCTTTTAAAAAACAAAAAAACAAAAATAAAAAAACCCTAAAACAACCCTTCCTCGAGTTTTCTTCTCTGTTCTTTCACTTCAAAATGTCTGGCTCTGCAGGGTTTAAACACTTCGACTTCTTCTTATGAAATCATTCCAGCCTCCGACGGCCACTCTTCCTGCATAAAGTGCCTAGGAGAGGCACATATGTCGGAAGTGTTCACACTGCTCGAACCACACAGTCAGAACGAGATAGGACCATGCCAACAGACTGAAAACTTTCCTATCTGAGAAGTTGTTACAATCTTTGCATGATGTCCGCACCTTTGTTTTTGGAGGGAAAGTCAAGACCAGAGGTATAGACAAAAGTTGTCCCTCTACCTCTGTAACAAGGCAAAAGTGAAAGCCTGGGTCTCTCCCGCTAAATCATTGCTCCCAGCACCGAGCTCATGCAGGGTGACAAGCCCAGCACTAGAGTCATGGCACCACCTAAACAATCGGGGCTGCTCAAGAGGACCCACTCTGAGCCGAGGCATAAGTTGGCAGTGCCAGTAGCACCATTGGCACCAATGTCCACCATGCTGACCAAACAGCATGGGTCAGCACTGAAGACAGTCCTGGAGAGAGCACCACATGCGGCACCTAAGAGACCCCGCACCAAGATGTCTCCTCCTAGGATGCTGCCACCAACCCCATCCTTGGTGCCTCAAAATCTCAGGCCATATGGCAGCAACCATGTATGTGGTGAGACTAGCCAGACCACACATGAGATGTTTACAGGCATGGATTTCCATGGCCTCTACCCACTCCACGGACTCCCTACACAGACTTTTATAATACCACTGCATGTCCTCATCTCATTGCATTGGTGGACACCAGCCTCAGAACGTGCTGCGCAGAGTTCCGTTTCAGCAACCTGCTCCCTCAGTTACCACAGGACAGAAGCATCTCTTATGGGGCGGGGAGCTCATCTTGCACACCACACAGTGCAAGGGAAATGGTCTCACCATGAACAAACGTTCCACATCAACCTTCTCAAGGTCAGAGTGGTACGATATGTGTCATTTCCTACCATCATCACCCACAAAATGATCAACATCATGACAAGCAATATGGTATGTATGTACTACATCAGCTGGCAAGGTGGAGCCTAATCCACCTCCCTCTGTACAGAGACCTTAAATCTGTGGAACTGATCTATCAGTCACCATGTCAATCTTATTGTCACTTTCCTTGCCAGGAGACTTAATTTGATGGTGGATAACCTCAGCTGTATCATTTCAGACCAGCATGAGTGTGAACTAGTCACTTTGCAAATGTCTTTCGCAAATGAGGCCAACCGGAAAGAGATCTGTTTGCAACCAAGTCAATTGAAAATGCCATTTATTTTTTTCCAGAGCAGCCCTAGGCAGAGGTTCTCAAGGGGATGCTTTCCTTCTAGAGTGGGATGCTCCCCTCCTATATGCATTTCCACTACTACCTCTGATCCATCGAGTGATAACGAAAATCAGACAAGACCGAGCACAAGTAATTCTGGTCGCACTGTCATGGTACAGACAGACTTGGCTCCCTTACCTGCATAAGTTAGTGATTGCAGATCCTCACACATTTCCCCTGCATCACAACCTGCTGACTCAACACCATGACAAAATTCTCCATCCTGATCCAGGGAAACTTCACCTGAAGGCATGGCTCCAGGATGCCAAAATTACCTGTTCTGACGCAGTTAAAAAAAGCTCATCAACATACATTTACAAGGGGATGAAGTTTTCACAGTAGGTAAAACAGAACCATCGTATCCCACGTGATACCACTCCCATACCAATAATACTTTACTACCTCTTGGCAGCAATCACAGCCTTCCACAAAACCACTGATAACACTTCTATTTTTGCACATCCCATCACCAAGTGTTTCCTTACAGGCTTTCAATATACTTTCCCATCAGTACGTCCACTGACTCCTATATGGGATTTGAATTGTGTCCTGAAGAGGTTAACCAAACTACCCATCGAACCAGTAGCCACTTATTCCTGGCTACATCTCTGAGATGTGTGTTCTCGTGGGTGTTCCACTATCCTCCCTCCTTCCCTTACTTTGGAGACTCTTTGGAGCTAGAACTAAGTTAGAAAAGGAATGGAGATGCCGTGCTGTGCACACACCTACTGGACACCAAAGGCATGAGGAGATGCTACCACGCATGCGCTGCACGGCAGGGCGCTGCTAGAAAAAACTCTGGTCGACAGCACAAGGATGCACCAGCACCCAGAGTGGAGCACCTATGGGGACAAACATCTCAAAGAACCCACATGACTGCACCTGGTGAGCAACTTTCTTTCTTGGTGCCAGGTGCTCTGATTCAGCAAATTTCTTAAGCACTTGTTTAAAGTTAGGCATATAGTTAAGTATCTCGCTGAATCTGGGCCAAAACCAAACCTAGAGATGGGTCTGTTTCCAGGCTGTGGAGAAATTTCACAGCGTTCGCTAGTGAAGGAAACTGAAACTGAAACACAAAGAAAAAAGTGCAAGTGTAGGAGGACTGAAAGTGGAAAAGTGTAGAGGACTATAAGGAGCTATAAGTGATGATCCAGCATGCATTAGGAGGAGGAATGGGGTCAGAAGGTGAAAAGGGCAATTTTCCAAATTCCTCTTTTCCTACTGCATGTCATAGATGCTTTCCCAATAGAATTAATGTCATTTGATATGTCATTTTGGAAGGTGTGGGTGTGGGAAATGACTGTATAATGTTAAAATCATAGAGTACCTTTCCCGTGACAAGACATTTTAAACCTAGCTAATTCAGCATTACAATGTTAATTCTGTCCCCCATCCCCACCCTACCCT